GCGCCGAGGCGGAGGGCAGCCGCTACGTGCTGACGAGCCCGCGCTCGCTGGAGGCGTGCGCGCGCTGCGCCGTGCGGCCCGTGGAGCTGCTGCCGCGCGCCCTGGGCGAGCTGCTGCGCGAGGCGCCCGGCCGCTCCATGCGCGTGGCCGCCGGCCTCTACGAGGCCTACGAGAGGGAGCGGCGGCGCAAGCTGCAGCAGTGCCGCGACGAGCGCGACAGGATCATCCGCGAGGAGAAGAGGAGGATCCTGGCGCCGCTCGGCAGCCTGCCACCCTCTCCTGCCGCCCGCCTGGCCCCCAGGGCCGCCCCCGCGGCCGCGGCGCCCCGGCCTCCCGGCGAGGCCCGGCCGGCGGCGGGCGCCAGGGCCAAGACCAAGAGCCACTCGCTGGACTCGCTGCAGAAGCGTCGGGACGGCGCTTGGGGCAAGACGTCCTCGGAGTCGGGCGCCTCGTCCTCCTACAGCGGGGAGAGCCTGCGGGAGCGCGGCAAGGGGCGCCCCCGCGAGCGGGCAGCGGCGGCCGCCACCTCCCTGCTGGGCCGCAGCTTCAGCCTGGGCGACCTCAGCCACTCGCCGCAGACGGCGCAGCGCGTGGAGAGGATCGTCAGGGAGGTGAAGAGGAAGAAGGGCCTCAAGGAGGTACCCGAGCGGGACAAGAAGATCGCGGCGCTGATGCTCGCCAAGCACCAGGAGGCCAGCATCCTGCGGGAGCAGCGGCAGGCCGCCCACCTGCAGTGGGACAGCCAGCGGCGCCTGGCGGAGCAGCGCAAGGAGCAGGAGGAGAAGGAGAAGCAGCGGGCTCTGGCGCAGGGCCAGCGCCTGTGGGAGTGCCAGGTGGAGAAGCGGCGCGGCAGGCTGAGCCAGGAGCAGCACGAGGCCGCCCTGCTGAAGCAGAAGCAGCGCCTGGTGTGCGAGGAGAGGTGGCGGGAGCAGGCGGAGAAGCAGGAGCGGCTGCGCAGGGAGAAGCTGGAGAGGGCCATCCAGGAGGACAAGCAGAAGAAGCTCCACCAAGAGCACAACTTGAAGGCAAAGGAGGACATCAAGAAGGAGCACCGAGAGCGAGAGGAGCAGCTTCTCCAAGAGAAGCTGTCCACGGCTGCACAGAAGAGGCTGAGGAAGGAGGTGCAGCTGCAGAAGGAGAAGAAACTGCTCAACCAGACAGAGAAGTTGAAGCACGAGGCCTTGCTCAAAGAGCTGGCCAAGCAAGAGGCAGAAGAGAAGGAGATGCTGAAGGCCTCCCTGGAGATGAGTTTAACAAAAGCTCAGGAGAACTACGAGCAGCTAATGGAGAGGAGGAACCAGGAGCTGAGGGAAAAGGCCAGGCGGGAGGAGATGCAGATTCAGAGGGCCAAACTGGCAGCAGAAAGGAAGGAAAGAGAGCAAAAGGAGCACTTGGCGGCCCTGGCTAAAGAGACAGAGAGAAAGCTCCAGCATGCTGCCCAGGTAGCCGAAGAGGTGGTCCAGGAGAAAGCCCGCAAGGTGGTCATGAGCCGCCTGGAAAAGGAGAAGGTGCAGAAGATGAACAAGCAAAAGGTAGAGCAGTACGAGGACTTACGACGCAGAGAGATCCTCCTCTCTATAGAGAGGAAGCTGGAGAGGAGCGAGCAAATCTTCAAGGAGAAGAAGACGGTCTTAGAAAACGCCAGGTCTGTCGCTCGCGCATCCTTCCACGTCCGGGAAAAGGTCCGGGAGGAGACCAACACGCGCACCTTTGACAAGATGGCCTTGGAAGCAGAACTGCATGCCAACCTGGATAAGAAGTGAAAGGTCTTTTCATGGATAAGTGGGGATACGGCACCTGAGGATGTCCATCATAATGCATCAGAACGCTCCTCTGCATCGGAACATTTCAAAGCAGCAACAACCAACCACCACCCTAACCCGTTACGCTGGTGGGAGAGCAGGGTACCGCACAAAAACCGTGGCAGCTATTTCACGTACTTTTTAAAATATGCTTTTGTTTTGGGGCATGTTTTAAGGACTGACCTCAATCACCTTTAGAAAGAAGTGAGCCTTTTTGTCCTCCACCCTACAAGCACACACGTTTTCTCAGAGAGGACTGCAGAGACTTGCTTGAAAGCTGTGAGTTACCCGTTGTTTGCCTGAGCCGGGGCTGACTGCCGCCGCACTCTTCTTTTAGTGTGGCAATGCAGGCAGTAAGAGATGACAGGCCTAAAAAAAGAACCAACACCAACTCACCTCGTTCTGGTTTGAGCACAGTTCGGCTTGGTTTAAGTTACAGGGCTGCATTCTCAAAGCTGTTGTCTTTTCCATGATAATGATGAGGAACGGCTGTATTCGGGCCCTTGGGTGCCCCTTACCCACTGCTGGTGTCAAGTGTGGGGGGAGAAAAGCACAGACCGAGATTTCATAACACCATGCAAGTAGACATTATGATCAGAGCTGGGCAGAAGCTGTTAAAATTGTTCACAGAAACTACAGTTTGTGACTGGTTTTGCTCCCTGAGTTCTTCAGCACTCTTCCTTTCTGAGTTTCTGTTATGAATGTCTGCAGAATACTCTTCCTTTGGAGAAGGGAAGGCAGAAGTCCACAAACTGAAAGGCATCTATGCGACCTGTTTGCTCAGTAAATTACCAAAATGAACTTGTGGAAACCGGCCTTTGTCACAGACTTGCAGATTATTTGCTCCCTCCTTAGAGAGTCTGTGGAGACTCTGATCTTGGAAATACAGCTTGACATAACAAGGCCCTGATTAACCTAATCCTGCTTTGGGCAGAAGATTGGAACCTAAATTATTCTGTGATTCCATGAATTGCTTGCAATATCAAGCTCACCCAGCTCTTATCATTGTCTGCTAGGCAGGGCAGCATTTATCTGCCCACTGGTGCTAACAGTTGTATTCTCACTTTAGGGCACAAGAAAGAGTGGATGCACAAAATAAGCTACGTTATAGATTCTCTTAGCAAGGATCACAGCGTTTTTTAACTCTAACCCAATACTGTATAGAGGGAAACGAGTCCTTCTGCCGCTAATGCACTGGAAATGTGAAAAAGCCTGCCTACACCCTGAGGAAAACCTTTAAATAAGACAGTGTTCTGCTCTGCTTTCCCACATTTGCTCTCTGCTGGATTCTAGCAGGGAACACCTATGTGGAAGCAGGTCCCTGGCACGGTTTTCTGCTGGCTCGGGGCTGTGGTGGTGGCACGAGGGGCTGCTGTGGGGATGGTGTCGGAGCCGGTGCGCGGGGCCGAAGCGGCAGCCAAAATCCTGCGTCTTGCAGCTGTCTCTAACGCACGGCACGGAAGAGAAAAGCAGAAGACTGACACGAGGACGTAGGCACACGGGCCTTTACGTGCAGACTGCTTACCCAAGTTTCGCAGGAGGTGACAGCAGGTTTAAAACCCCTTAGAAGGTTTTAAAGACGATTCTGTACATTAACAGTGATGGTAATTGTAGACCAAAGTACCCCGGTGGCCTCCAAGCCTGAAAACATTACAAAATCAGTGTTGGATATGAAGAAATAGGGATTTTCTTTGGTTTTGATGGAATATACTCCTTTTGAATTAGAGATTAGTGAATTGGTGCTATTGAGAATAGTCAGCAAGAAAGTAGGAATTAGGGCACTGGAGTTATGTTCTCACTGGCAGCCATTGGCTCCCCGTGTGACACCAGGTAAGTCCTTGAGGGCTGTGCCTGCTCCCAGTGATATAAAAGGAAGCAGAATTGGGCTCTTGAGCGTGCAATGAGGCCCAGGAAATAACAACACTCAACGTGGTAAAATGCTTCAAAGACTTTGGACAAAAGAGGTTAGCAAAGTGCAAAGTACTGTTTTGTGTGTTTGTTTATTTATTTGGGTGAGTATTAAAGTAAAGCGTGTCTGTTGGAGAAAAGTACTAATTAATCTAAAAATCGAGAAGCGTTCATAGCTCTGGCAGGACAGCTGAGTTCAGGCTCCTGGTCTGGAGCCTGTCCCCTCACCCTCGTCCTCAGAACAAGTCATGTTGAACAGTGATACCAAGGCTGGACTCAGTCCTGTTGTCCTTGTTACCGTGCGTGTCCTTGTAGCCACAAAGACCTAGGAAAGAGATCCCAGTGGCCCGAATCCAGCCTGCACAAAGGCAACGCTGGCGTTGGGGTAAACCTTGCTCTGACACCAGCACGGCCAAGATTTCATCCAGCCTGTAGCCTGAGGCTGCAGAGCACGTGTGGGGCAAGCAGTGGCTCACGTGTGAGAAGTCCTGCCCCGTGGCAGCACGGGGAAGGTCACCACCATCCGTTCAGCAGAGAGCAACTGGAAGGAGCTGGGAAGCAGCATAAGGAATGCAAAATGCAGCAGGCAGATGAGCAAATGTGGTCACTAACTGAAGCAGTAGCACTTCCCTAAAGGTCCACTGAGTTATATTGGAGGCTTTGTCCCCACCTGCCTCTGTGGTGCACGTGCTGTGCACATTTTGTGAGGACATTTTAGTGTCGTGGCCACTGACTGGTTAAATTTTGACTCCTCTCACCACTGACCGAGTTTGACACCTTGGGACTGCAGCCAAACTAATCAAAAGACACCTACGTGGCGATAATTGGATTGGCTCAGTGCTGTTCCTATACTGTGCAGGGTGCAGCTCAAGTTCTGAATGTGCAATCTGAGAAAATAATATTTTTTTTTCAAAATGCTTAACTGTGTATGGATCTTTTTTTCATTCTGTGGTGGTTTTGGATGTTAGCACCATCCAAAACTTGTGAGAGTTCGAGTTTATAAGTTGTTTAAACTAAATCAGCACATTGGGTGGAAGGACGAGAGAGGTTTCTCGGATCTGCTTATGCAGCTGTTTACTTGAGAGGAAGTTTTACTGCTGGATTTTGGTGGGAGCAGAACTTAAAGCATGGGACACCTGTAATAAGTATCGTCTTTCAGATACAACTTATTTGCTATTTCTGCTACCAAGGTGCAGAGCAGAGAGAGCTACAAGTCAAAGCCAGCGACACACTGCTCAGAACCAGAATACACCTTACGTAGAGCAGAGGAACGTCCTACAGACTTCAGCTGGTTCTCTCTCAAAATTAGAAAACACCTTTGGGTTGTTCTATTTTAATGTCAGAATCTATAATCCTAGTCTAATAAAGACTTTGCTTCTAGGCCACTTGCATGCTGCAGAATGATCAGTTGAAACTGAAATATCTTCATTTTAAAAGCAGCAACAACCAAAGGCCTGGTGCTCTTCAGCACTAGAGCAGAGAGGTCCTGGGACAGATCTGCCTGCTCTCAGATCACACAGGCCCCCTTCAGAGCATGCAAGTTTAAACTCATTTAATCCTTTGCTGAGTCAAGGTCCTAGGGAATCAAGTTTGTTGGAAACGGACTTAGCTGTCATAGTATTGTACGAGAAGATAGTCATAGGAAAAGGAGGGGAAGATTTTGGCTTGTCTCGGTCCCTCTGGCCATAAGCCCTGTGACATTTACTTTGTACTCTAGTGCAGGCATGTTGGTTTTAACGCATGCTGATAGAGCCCTAATACCGCTCCTTGTGGAGCGCAGCCCTAGGTGAACCCTTTGCAAATCCCATCCTCTGTGGAGGACCAAAGCTGGGGCTTGGTGAGAAAACCGAAATGCTTCTTCTCTCATTGAGGCAAGAAGCAGCTCTGTCCCTTGCGAGTAGGACAGTGTTAATAGATGGGGCTCTGAAGGGAAAACACACTGGAAAGGGCAAAATTGCAATGCTCTGCTGTACAAGATGCTTAGAAATGGATTTTGAGAAATGGATTTTTGAGAGCAACCATCACTCTCTGAGTACGGACTTCCTATTTGGAGCCTTTTTAACAGGATAAGCCCCATATCCCAAACGCCTCTTAAGGCATAAAAAGAAATACCCAGTTCTAGATCTGATTTCTCTGTCCTGAGACCCTTTCCTCGAGCACAGCTCTCTGCTGTGAAGCTCTACACTGTGCTACTGTAATGCTCCCATCCAAAAGGACCCCACATTCTGTAGTTTTGCGCTCCCCTCCTGCCTCCATGCCGTTCCAACGGCATGGAGGCAGGAGGGGAGCGCAAAACTACAGAATAAAATTTATTATATATTTATAAAATATATATATTTATAAAATTATATATATTTATAAAATACATTATAAAATCACACTACCAGTGCTATTTTGCTCTTCTGTGCTTTACACTGCTCCCTACATCCCATCTCAGGACCTGACTGTGAGGTAAAATAGTTATTGCCCCTAACTTCAGTACAAGAAAACTGAAGCGGAAAGAACTGATGTGACTTGCCCCGGGCCATGCTGGATTCACTGGTGTCACTGGAGCTCGCTCCCATCCTCCTCGTCCCCGCAGCAGAGCTCTAATTAATCTCTCCTGACTGCTGGGAGAGGATATCCCTGCACCCCTGCTGCGGCAGCTCCTCTGACTCCTGCTGTCCCGATGGCTTTTGCTGGGGAACGAAGCTGCCAGCACCCACTGCCCTGTCTTATCCCCCAAACTTGAAGCATATGAAGGAATTCTACAATTTCTTTTTAGGTTTTCTAACAGGACTTGGGTGAATGCCACTGCTAAGGCTGCAGAGGGAGTCCTAAGTGCTAAGCTGCATAGGGGCAGGAGGAAGGTGCATTGACAGAGCTGGGCAGAGGGAAATGGGAAAGGACAGAGCAGATGTGGACTGAGAGTCCCTATAGCCTCTGCTGGACTAGAGTCCGTTGTTTCTGTATGTATGGCAGCCTGTGGTAACACTATTCCTTCTTTCAGCATAGCAATGCTATGGTGATGGGCTCTCCCCTTCCGTTGCCACGCTGGAGCCAGCGGAGCTGCTCCGGGAGCGAACGCAGCGCAGGCACCTTGGCCTGAACATCGCTGCTGTAAACCACAGGAGCTTAGGACAGCTCTGCTTCCAGGAGCCTCGTGGAAATTTCCCCCTCGGCGGAGCGTGCCCGGGCAAAGGGATTACAGGGTCACACACGCCGCGGTATTTTTAGGCACAGTGATGTGTCTGTCAATACCCTGCTCCGCACACTGTGCTCTGGGCATTAGCAGGAGGCAAACGGTGCCGGCCTGAATCCACAGCCTAGCACAGCAGAGGGGAAGGAGGCTGCCCTGGGAGCGCCTCCACAGGCAGCAACCTGAGGAGCGGGGAGGGAGAGATGGGCTCTGGGGCCGTCAGACTGCGCTGGAGGTGGTGTGGCTGGGGACGAGGCAGTGGGGTAGTGGCTCTTCATTTCTAATCACCTCCAAAATCAGCTGGTTTTGACTCATATTTAATGATGTGGGAGAGATGGAGAAATGGATGAGGAAGGTAGGTCAAAACACACATGTGTTGATAAAACAGATTTTCCTTTCCCTGCTAAAGAAATCCTGAATATTGAGGCAGCAGTTGGGAATTCTGTTATGTGCCAGGGTGCAGGTGCTTTGTGCAGAGGCTCCACTCCAATCCCAGGCTTTGAAACCCGTGCACACCACACAGAACCAGCCGTCTCCTCAGAGGCACAGAAAAAGCCAGACTAAAGAAACATAGGATGAGCTCCACGGACTGAGAGGCAAGTTTTCCCTGTAGCGGGAGAAGAGCACAACCGTCCTGGCCCAACTCACCCGTCCAGCACCAGGGCCGGCCGACGCAGCGCGCGAGCGGCACTGGGCTCTCACAGGGTCCTCCGCTCTGCAAGGGCTCCAAGCAGCACACACTGCCCTGTTCTTCCTTAAACTGGGACCTGTCTGGGGACGAGCAACTCCAGGAAGCAGCTCTGGGCCTTTGCCTGGAATACAGTGGGATCTGACAAAGGAATTAGGATGTTGCAGAGCAGCAAAGTGACACTGTTGGCTTTTTAAGTAGCAGCACTAGTGCTAATTTTATTCCTCTGCATTAACTGTTTTCCTAGACAGCCTATCATAAACGAGGAGGAAAGTAGAAGCACCAGAAGCCATTCCCAAAAGCACAAACCCAGAAAGCTATGGTGCAAAACGCAGTGGGAAGGCGAGTCCTGCAGGTGGAACCACCTGGCAGATACACTGCCCTGAGGAAAGGGACACTGAAAAGTCCCTCCAAGTCAGGGGGAGTTTGTCCCTTTGGCTGTCAGTGGGCTCAGGAATAGCCTGACTGCTTAAACCAGCATCTTGCAGGAGAAGTGGCA